ATGTACTGGCCACGGGATTCGAAGGTTTTGGGCCCAATCTCCGGTGGGGCGGGGTCATGGCGTGTCCCACTGGGGAGCCCTGTACCGGGAGGAAACAGCTTCCCAGTTCTTCTGAGTTTCCATTGTTCCTTTAACTGATGTCAGTCCATGATGAATTCTAACCTGAAACCACGAAGTCTCGATTTAACTCTTATTACTTAGATTTATATATCGCCATACGACGGCGTCTGCAATCGGTAGTATGGCTCCGGTACAATACGTTTCAGAGGCCCATGATTTTAACCGGGGATTGCAATGCTCATAACTTCCTTTGATTGCTGCTGCATAATTTGCATTTGCCGAGTAATCATTGGAGGTACTATAAGTTTGCTACTTGAACAAACGGCTCCACGTGCGCAATCACCAGAGTTCTCATGATCAAACCAGTAAGCCTGGCCACGTCCTAAGGAGTCTGATATTTAGGACGTCCGAGCTAATGACCTGCAACAACTTTTCATCTGCCATTAGCGCGTCGGTTTTCATGTAAATCCTAGCATCCAGGTCACTTGTCTTCGAGCGAATGCCGGTCGGGAGTTACAGGAAAGATGACTGTGGGAGACTGAACAGGTCCAAGTTATACGAAGCTTGGCTCTAGTGGTTTAGCTGATCTGGGTGCCAGGTGAAGAATGTTGAAGATCGGAATGCTTCTGATGACTATCAGGAGGGGAAACACTGTCCTTTTATTGTAAAAACAGGGCGCATTGGTCCTGATTAGGGCTCAGCACCTGGAGTCCAAACGACGTAAACGATCAGTTTTGTGGTCAATAGAAAGTAATTGTCAGCGCAAGAGCCTCGTACTTTGCGAGGCTGACCAAAGTGTAAACGCGGTAAAATCACGTAAGATAAGTTGAACTACTGCAGACACCACCATGGTTAATGATCCATATACTCGCCTATGAAAAACCAAGCATTTGCCATTCAGTGGTACAGACCCCTACAGTTTATTGAGCCCTTAGGCCAATCTTGAGGTTGCCTGCACATTGGTTTATGAGATCTAACTAAAGTTGTATTGAGGAGATACTTCACCATAAGCATGATTTTCGAATGAGCCAGGCGTCGTGCAGAATCTGAGATGCCGAAGGGGACGTATTGTAGTGAACTGGACGCGGCACTATCATGTAACGCCTAACCGGCTCTACTAAACTCGGCGGGCGCCGAGAAACAGATCAAAAAGATCACCACCCAGGAATATATTCGAAAGAGCAATATATTGAAAATGAATAAAGATGAAGGTGACTTTTAAGGAGAAATCTTGTCCAACTCATCTGATTAATACGGCTGGGGACGTGCATATCGACCAACACGAAGGGGTCGCTAAGCGGCTGGTCCGCTGGGATTCTCACTCTTTGAACCAAAACTTGGGGCATCTTGAGCATCTGGGGGCAAGTTAGAGGTTCATTGGGCTAATATTTAGTTAATTTAGTTTAACCTTCTTATTTTTTACTGGCTACACTTTGGTGTCAGGAAGTTGCACACATCTTATACCTCTCAAACCATGAGAATTCTGGTTTGGTCTACGGTAATCCTTCGAATTTACTGGAAGACTGTGTATGCATTTTGTGTCTTGATTGCGAACCTATTGAGTTTTTCGTCTCTATGATTTAAATTGGCATATAACTGAAAAAAGGAGGGGTGGGTATCGCGCCGTATGCGGGGTATTTTAAAATAAACGCTTCCCAATATTTTTCAGTCTATCTAACGTCCTTGGTTGTGGAGATCGTGGAGTACTAAATAACTCAAACATCAAACTTCACACCTCGTGTTTTAGAATTGGTGAGCAATGGTTCCTTGGGTTCCACGTCTGTCTGTCAATAGGTGGGGATTGAGATTACCCTCCACGAAGACGTGTGTTATGTAGAAACTTAGTCCTACCTGTAAAAATGGCATGTGCCTGTATACCCAGGAATAAATATTATTACCATTATTATTGGGGTACGTAACAGGTTTGGAATGGTTACGATTGTCCTCCTGGCTCCGAAAAACCTGAGACGAAAGAGGTAATCTATTATTAGTTAATCTGGTCCCAAGGTAGCATTAATGCCACTAATCTGAAGATGACAGAAAGCATCTCAAGTACAGTCCGTCGGTACCAAAAGACTTTAGATACGCATCTAACCCTTTTTGAAAGTATCAGCGGATGGATTGTAACAAGTGCTGAAAAAAGACAGTCCCGTGGCTTACGAACTCTAACTGCGAACGAGCGAGCGTGGATCTTTGCATGTGCTTTCTCATGCTCTACTCTTAACGGGTGACCCCTAAGTTGATGTTTCCCATTAAGTCTAAGGAAGGGTCTGTCGGGGGAAGGGCATCATGGAACTCCAAGATACTGTTCCATGTTCGAGTAATAGATATTTGTTCCACCTAGAAAGCAGGAACTGGGACTGTTTTTATATCTGTCAACTATCATTATCCCACACGTCTCCGAGCTGAGAGGGAGCGGGTCTTCTGCGGTCTCCTGGGAGAACCGAAATATACATTGGCACCTGTGTTTCCCCCAAACCCTCAGATCATCGATGCACCACTGTGAAAGAGAATTTAGGGGTCCTGGTAGGCCGCTGATGAAAGCAAGAAACAGCAGTGAGCCCAGAACAGAACACTGAGGCACACCGCTTAGCATCAAGAACCAATTAGACAAGGAGGAGCAGACTTTGTCTGACTGCAACCTGGTGTAAAGATAGCCTCAAAGCCAAATTTTTAATTCTCTGTGCGCACCCATAATGCGAAGCCTCTTACATAATATATCACGATTTATCCTGTTAAAGGCCTTAGAAAAATCAGGTAAACCAGGTTGAATGGGCTCAACAGAGAGAGTCCAGTTATTCCAAGCTATCAGCAAGTTGGTATCACGTGACGCTTCAGGCAAAGATCCGTGTCGGCGGTCGTTTAGGATTGGGCTTTTAAGTAAGCGTTAGTGGGGTGAGCTGTTAAATACTCTTTCCACGACCTTCGCGACTGAAGACATCAGAGAGATCGGTCTGTGGCTGGACAGAAATGGTTTGTCTACACCTTTATATACTGAGACAACAGTCACCCGTTTCCAATCAAGCGGCAAACAGCCCTCCAGAAACGAGCATCTCAGGAGGTTTTCAGTGGGACCTTCAAAGAGTCGGCACACTCTCTGGGTACTCTTGGGTGAATCCGACCAATTCCCAAAGGTATTTGGGTTCAAGTTCTTGGCGACCTCCACGATTAAAAGAGGTTAAAATTCTACATGACTTAAACCTTCCATAATGAGTGCAAGTCAGATGCATGGTTGACCGTCCTAACTGACAGAAGCTGTTTTGGAGTTCATGAGCTGATAAGTTTGTTACCTCAGAGTTGGTGTGAACGGTCTCTAAACTGTTGGGGTCTTGTGGAACAAGTGAACTGTTACTCTTCTGTTTCGTCAGCGAGTACAACATCCCATGATTCTTCTCCATGGTTCAACAGAGTTGTTTCTGTTAGTTTACTTCGCTATTTCTGATTCTTATCACACATCTGTTGCGGACGTCTTCTTAATTCAGCCAGTCAGTAGAGCTATCAATGCCCCTCCACTGATTCCAAGATATTCGTTCACGCCCTATAAGTTTACGCGTGCTTGACCTAGGCCTGAAGGAATAAGCCTTCTTGGTCCTTCTTGCAATCGGAGAAGTGTTATTGTTGGTATTTGTGCTCCCATCAACTCAAACCTTTAGTGGCTACCAATATGGCTTTTAATCAGCAGGTTTGGTAACATCAAAGTGTCAACCGGAACGTTTGGAGTCTGTAGAGCAGAGAAAAAAATTCATATTGAGCCAGATAGTTTGTATCGGACAGTCGATGGATTTGGGTGTGATACACCATGTAACGAAACAAAGTTTCCAAGGACTGCTTTTAAGCAAACCGGATAAACAGGCTAACTTCTGAATCTTTCTACCGATTGATTACCTGTGTGTATGAAACAAAGGGTGCACTCGCACAGCCGAATTACAGCTCAATATTTTGTTAGATTTTGCCGAATAACAGAGATGTTTCATCTTGCCGGCTGGGGATTCTGTGTGAGCAGCACAATGCAACTCAACCACCTGCCAGTTGGCCTGCATGTTTGGCCGAGTGCTCTGAGCTAAACCACTCCAGGAAAACTACAGAGGTCAGCACCGATGTTGTAACCGACCGCTGATTTTGAAAAACTAATTGCCACTGCCTGGCTATGGTGACGCATAAAATGTCACCCAGTCAATTTAAAGTGGTCTTTTATGCTCAGTTGCAAACAGTTAAAACTGACTTTGAGTTGTCACATCGGTTACAGGCATTCACCGTGGTATCTCAGTGGGAAATCCCAGGTCCACCGCTGACTGTCACTTTCGTGAATGGCTCACCACTTACGTAATTCTCGGTCATTCTTATGCGCAAAAGATCATGACCCGGAGGGAGACATGCTGGTCAAAGAGTGTCACGTCCAGAATCCAAGTCTGAATTCTTAGAAGTCGGTTACCATCCCTGTATAGATATGCAAGGTTTCTAATCTATCTCTTGCTCTCTGCCTGGAATGAATATCTCACACCCAAAGTGGAAGACTATCTATGGGTCAACCTCGGTAGCTAAGTTGGAGCTTCCGCTCTGTTTTGAGCCGTCAAGAAAGGTATATGCAATTCTGACGACCCTCAGCTGGAATTAAACCGAAACAATTTTGCACTTATTCGTCGAAGTGTATTAGCCCGTGTGTACCCGCATCTAGAAAAAAGTCATCTGCCTTCTACTTACTTTAAAAATGACCTGGACATACACATGAAAGAAGTACCAAAAATTCGCTAAAAACGCTACGAACTGCAGCTTCGCCTAATTTTTATTGGATAGCCATAAAGCAATAGTTATTAATCCTAACTTCAGGGTTGAATTCCAAAAGTAGATTAAGAAAAAACAGAAATTACATCCCTGTGTTTTTAAATGCTCCACCTGATGATGTCAAATAAAGTTAAATATCCACTTAGATTCCCCTGGTAATGGATCATGTTATAAAAGCTTTGAGAACTTTTGTGTGGCATCACTATCAGAAGATAAGTGAACACAAACCTTCAGGAATAATATTTTTCTCGGTAAAAATTAAGAACTGCTATAATTTCATCCACAGACACCTTTTACCCGTGGCAGATTATAACTCAGTGAGAAACTTCACACTATTTTTACAGTATAAAGTTGTAAGTTTAAAAGGCTTTGTTCAATTTTCTTTGTTTTATCAAGGCAAATACAAATACCATAGCTATAACTTCGTTAGATTGTCCAATCACAATCAAAACCGATACAGCTGATTCAAGGTTAAACTTTTTCTCTGTTATTAAGCAGACAAATTGTGTAAGTTGATTGTTATATCTCTTGATTTGAATGTGTTGTGCTGTACTAAGCAATAAGTAAGTTTCCGTTGGCTTCAATAAATATTTCTCCGTTCAAACCTTTCATATACTAAGTTTACGCAGTAACTTCGAAGAATTTCATAACTTAAGTTATGAAATTCAGTCATCTCCGAAAAGTCGTCATTATTCATTTCCGATAAAATTTATTATTAAATATCTGTTGAGTTTGGACCTCATGTAAATGTTTCATTCAAACATTTTATGCGACGTTTTGACATCTGTTACTGGATGAACTACTACCAGCCACTTATAGAAGCATATATTCTTAGATATTTTGGCTCTTGAAACTACTGTACATCTACTGAAAGCTCCAGTTCACAAAAAATTAACGGAGTTCAAGTAGGTCAACTTTGTTTTCGTTCCTTTCCACAAACATCGTGATGTTATCCTACTCGAAAGTCTTCAGTACTTTTCTATTTTCTCGAGTTCATTTTGCTTCAGAAGAGCTAGAATGCTTCCGAAAGTATGATTCTTTATGTCCGATTGTATATGTATGTCCAAAGCACAATTTTTTGTGAAAGCGAGCTGACTTGCAATTCTGTGCATCGGAACTTCACCCAGTCATACACAATCCTATCTTGACTTTTGATGTCTTCAGTATTGAATAATCATTATAAAAGGCCAATTGTCTTGTGTTAATCCTCGCAGTAGATATCTCTATGGACATCTTTTTCTTAAAAGCGTTCACTGAAGGAGTTGATACCACTTGAGTAAGTAAGGAATTCCTGTCGTTGACCACGGCGGGGTAAACGCAAATTCATGCGAAGTTGATGCGTTCGCGGTTCTTGGATTTTCTTGAGGTGGCCTCACAGGTTATCAATCCTGACAGCAAAGTAAAGATGAGACATATCAGTACTGGAGCCATTATTAAAGATATGGAATACCAGTATGAGGTCTCTCCTCTTTTTACGGGATAGCGCTAGGAAGTTCATTTAATCCCATCTTTCCCCAAGCGATGAGTTGGGAAGGTTTATCTCAAGCTTATCACTTGCACTTTAAATCCGCTCAAATATATGGACATTTTTTTAAAGCCTGGACTGGTTGCCTGAATGTGAGGTGTAACGTATGTAGGATAGAGTATCCTGAATATATCCTTCAAATGATTAGCAACGAAATGGGAAATTTTTCATCCATTTGGCCTTCAAAACTTTTGGAAGTTCAAACAAGTGAATAAGCAATCGATCAGAGAGGTTTTTCCGTTGTGCGAGTAAGGCCGAACAAAAATAGGGTGGGGAAATTTTTTAGTTCGTCTATGAAAAGTACAATGGGGTTGTGAGACATCAAGGGTGAGAAAGAATAGATTACTAGTTTGGAAGGATGAATATTTGAAGATGAGACAATATATCTTAAATACATAATAATAATGATAACCATAAATGTACTTTTGATAACACTTGAAGTATGAGTGATAACAAAATGGATTATGTTATGGTTCATCGAATGTATATGACTCAGAGAGTAGTGTAAAATTAATAAAAATAGTAGATCAATAAGGTGTATGTAATAGGACTAGACAATCTACCTTCTCTTCAGATATTATTTATAACTGCCTAGGCGAGTCATTAATGTTTGCCATATTAGTGGGATGTCTAACTCATCTTTTCTGTTGACCGAAGAAGGATATGAGCAGATGTGCAAAGCTTCTGCAATGGTCCGCTCTTTGTGAGAGAGAAAACCCTTTTGCAGAACTTTTTTCTGTTCGAATGATATTTTATGACCTGAATATAGGGCATGAGCCGCGATAGCACAGCTTTTTCCAAGTTTTTCTAGATCATAGGAATTTTTGGTGGTTTTTTGGAAGTACTACCGTGTTCGGCTAGACGTGTTAGTACTTGACGTGATGTCTCTCCAGTGTATGTGGCATCGCATTCACTGCAGTCTACCTTATAAACACAGTTTTGTTGTTCCAAAAGAGAAATCAGATCTTTTAATTTGCACAGGTGTGAGTGTAGTGTATTCGTCACCTTAAAGAATACTCTGATGTTGTAACGGTTAAGGATACGTCTTATTTCCTCTGAAGTGGATGTTCGATAAGGAAGTACTATAGTACTTATCCAATCTTTATGGCTTGACTTTTTCATATTTTTATTCGATAAACTTTTTTCGATCCTTTTTAATAGTTTGTCTGGATATTTGTTCTGTCTTAAGACTTCCCGAACAAGTCGCCTGTCTGCTTGCTGAGATTCCACTTTATTCGGTATCCTTTGCGATCTCGTCAACAGATTTTGGCAACGTTTAATTTAGTTTCCAATAGATGAGCTGAGTCGAAGTCAAGGTACTTGTTCGAAAGTGTATCTTTTCGATAGACATCAATATCAAGTGTCCCATCACTGTTTCGTATCGCCTTGCAGTCTAGGGAAGCTAACGTTCTGAATTCTGTTTCTAGTTCACATGTGAGTTTTACAGAATTGAAACGGTTGTTTAGGTATTCCAAAAGACTTTCTAATCCTTGCTTTTTGGTTACGACGAAGGTGTCATCAACATACCTCCACCATACTCTTGGTTTTAAATTATGTTGGTTAAGTAGGTCTGATTCCACTTTGTGCATGTATAGATTAGCCACAATGGATGAACCAGGTGAACCCATTGCTACCCCACTGGTTTACAGAATTAAGTAGTTCAATTTGGAGGAAATATTCAGAACATTAAGCAAGATAGGGTGAATTCATCTTGACTTCAGAAATTGATTTTGAGCCAGCAGGTGTACAGCTTTTTGCTGGGGTCAGACCACTTCTAAGTGAACTTACTGATTTTCTCATTTTTGCTAACTGGTTTAGAATTCTCATTACCTTCCACTTACTCTGCCAAAATTTGGAGGTAAGCGATAATGAGGCATATCTAACACATTAATATTTTACAAATCGAAGATGAAATAAACTAGATGAATTCCTTTTGTAAAGTGTTTACCAACCTTAAATGACACACGTTGAAAGGGAATACTTACGAATCATTTCTGCTTTTTATCGGATGTAAATGTGTGTGCCAATCCTTCACTATTGTCTGAGATTTGGAGTATCATGAACTTTAAGGGATGCAAACTAGTATTCAGCACCAGTTATTGTATTTTTGATACAATAAATGGACAGTTAGTAAGTGTGACTTTTTCACATCAATATTGCAAGAAATTGTGTCTCATGAGAAAATAAAATCACATCATGGAAGAAGTTCATCATTTGTCGGTCTCAAACTTTCCTATCAAGTGACTGCAGTCAGGCTAGAAAAATAGTGATACTAAAGATTTTTTTGGTGCTACCGGGGAGTAAATATACATGTACAAAAATGCATGAACCACCTACGGACATTCAGCAATGTTAGACGTAAGGGGATTTCGACGCGTATATTTCATGTTTGTAATGATGTGACGGGTGAAGCCAAGGAAATACTTACTGGACTCGTTGAGGTTATTGAATAATAATTGGGACCGGTCAAAGTTTACACTTCACGGCAGAAACCTAAGGAAAACGAACGAATTCATTTATTAAGATAGGCAAAATATAAAAGCAGTTGATTCCCGACTGTAGTCTAATAATTTACTCTTGGCATGAACCAGTGATTTGAGGTCTGATGAAATAATGGTAAATTCTAATGTGACTGTGTTATTGCAACTACGGAGATTAAGCATAAATTCAACGATTCCGCTCATTATGCACACCTAAATGATGATGGCATAATGCTGTTGAACAAATAACAGATCGGAAATACCGTCCAGAGAAAACTGACCACTGAAATGAATCCACTAAGCAGAATTGAAAGCGTTAAAAAATTTCATCCTGAGTTTCTTTCTTAACAGTTAATAAATCGAGGGCTTGTTGATTAACCTTTCTATGCATAACGCTTGATGCATTATATCAATTTTCAGTGGAATATTTGTATTAACTTTGGTAGGTTATTCCATTTATGTCCACTGTCCACCGCTTAAATAATCAACATTGTCCCGCTTTTTATCATTAGATTTTATTTACTGAAGTTTATCCTGATTTTGGTCTAAGCAAACATGACAAAAATGAACAATTCTCACTTTCAGATATCATCACATCCTAAGGGAATTTTAATTTTTCTAAACTGATCACAATAATGATGAGAGCTTGGCAATTAGTCGATATTAATGGTGAAGTCATCAATGAAGAAGATGTCTCCAGTGTTGGTAAGTTAAACATTGAACTTTTATCTTATACAGTATTATGTTGACAATTGGACATACTGGTTTTACTGTAAATTTTGTTATAATCTTTTCACACTTGTTGATATTCACCTTTTGGAATTTGTTTATTCTATTTTGTTCTTAGCTGGTCTGTAATAATATTATTTTTTTGACGACACTTTTTTTCAGTGTGCGGTCCTCTAAGTAGCTAATGTCATTTGTTATGGAAGCATTTCTCACTGTTGACCAATAAGCGGAGGATGCGGTCTCGTACTCTGAGTTGGTTTTACCACGCCTTTTGAATCTTTCTGTTATGGCTTCAACAATCCTTTGTCATAGAGGAGCCAAACGAACAATACATGTCAGCACCCAATTCAATGATCAAGACAAACAATTGTCTGTATTTCTGTGTTGTGTGTTGTTATCCTTCAAGTTCTTCGTAAAAGTGAATACGTAATACCATATGGATATTGTTTAATGTAATAGAATAGCTACCGTAGTCAGTGTGATTTAGAGTCTAACGTCTCAGAGGATGAAGAAGTTTATCTAGTTACATCCTGGTTCGATGATTCATAATGCATCAGAGCAAATTGAGTTATTATTGTGATTGGATAATTTTCACTGGAAGCATTGCAGACTAGACATTGAAAATCGTCTTTTCATTAAAATTTTGTACTTCAAGTGTGCAATTCACCACCACGATTCACCTGAAAAATAAAATCCCCATAAACCTCATACTGAATTACTGTATAGTGCT